TCTAGCCTGCAGCTTCAAACGAGTGTGCAACTCTTACAACTCCAAAGGAATATTTGTTCTGTTATTAAGAATTATTCAAACCTCACTCTGTATTATATAGCAGTACTCTTTAGAACAGTAAGAACCATAAATACGGAGTAACATCGAACCTGGATCTCTCAGAAAGAAAACATCAACGATGTATTTCATAACTTAGAAAATCATTATCATAATATGTAGTATTTCGCAAGAAGAAGAAGAGAGAGAGCAGCCGAGCATGAAGACTTCGATCGAGAAGGAGAGATTCTGGAGCCATCAACGACCTGTTCCAAGCATTTTCCATCAACTAAAGAAGGATAAGATGGTCTCTTTACTAACCAACAGTGAAATAATGGATTTCAGCTAATAAAGTAGCCATGGAGTTGTTGTTTTTTCCTGATAATAATTATCAGCCAAAACAGCCCAATGGATGGGTGTTTGGCATTTTTTTCCTACTTACAGGATCAGCCTATTCTAAGGCCTCCAAACGGCCTCTAGGCAAAATAAGAGTTCCAACTTTCCGTATAGTCAGTAGGAGTAAAAAAGAATTGCTTGACGTAAATACTCTTAATGATATCTCAAGCTTTTTTCTTTATTAATAATTGAAATCAAAATATTAAAATTAAACAGTACAACACACACAACTCTGGGGTACGATGATGACCACCTTCTCTGCATCCTTCACCACCTGTAGACTCTTCTGACGCCGCCGGTGATGCTTCGACCTATCATCGCCGCCGGTGGTGCTTTGACCTGTCGCCGCCGCCAGTGGCTCTTCCACTTGTCATCGTCGACGACAGCCGCTGCCTTGCCACCACTATTGTCTCAATCTCCAATGTCATTGTCACCACCGGTGCTGTCGCTGCCGCCTACGCCGATATCGCCGCCGCCTACCCCGCCACAACCTGTTGCTGCCTCTATCTCCAATGCCGACCTCATCCACCACCTACCACTGCAAATCTCGGATCTGACCTCTGGTCTGACATGACTATCATAGAAGTGCCATTTTACACTTGGAGTGCCATATTGTACTTGAAGTGCCACCCTGGTAGAAATAAGATGTCATTTTAAGATAAAAAGCATGGCACTGATGTTTTTCAAAAGTAGTATTATGAAAAAATGACAAGTGTACTACAAATATAGTTTTCTTGGACAAAAGTATGAGTAGTTATGTTATTGTAGAAACATATGACTAGTCACTATGTACGAGTAACTGGACAAAATCACTGTAGTATATTTTAGAGTGATAAGTCACTGGTAGATGATGAGTCAATGGGAAGTAGTCACTGTATATGTCACTTTTATGAAAAATTCAAATTAAGTCATATATTTTGACTCTTGAATTTAATTTAGTAATATTCGTGAAAAGGGTCTAGTAATATTCATGTAATGTTAGTGTCATAAAAATGATATTCATTCTCGAAGGACATTTTCAAATTCAATGTAATAAAAATATAAAGGCATTCCATAAAAATGATATTATTGTGAATCAATTTTCCAATAGATTATATTTAATGGGAAAAATACTTATAATTGTACCATCGTCAAATTCAAAAATAATAATAATAAACCAACACATATCAAATTAAAAAATCGAAATAAATAAAAAATTTGACATATAACAAAAATAGAGATGGTGGAAGGAGGAGGAGAAGAACGAGGAGGAGGAGGAGGAGAAAAAGAAGAAAATTCATAATCCATACATGGTCACCGCTCACTAATGGCCGTCACCGCTAGTCGCTCACTGGTGGTCGAAAATGGAGAAAAAATTCTTCATCCATACCTCTAAAAATCACCGGAGATGGGAGAAATCTACATCAACATAATAAAATTAAAATTATTGTTGAAGACAAGAGAAGAGGGGTGGAGTAGGAAGACGAAGTGGGTAGAGGAAAGCGGGGAGGTGAGAGAAAAGAAAAGACCGGCATCCAAACTTTGTAAAACACATTTAGGGAGTGTTTGCAACTGCTTAAAAAAAAGCACTTCTCAGCTTTTGGCTTTAAAAAGCACTTATTTACCAAACACTACCAATTTTTACTTTTTCTCGGCTTGCGTGTGAAAAGTGCTTTTCCCTTTTCTATTACACAAAAAGCACTTATTTTACCAAACACTACCAACTTTTACTTTTCAAAATCACTTTTTTCTCAAACACTATCAACTTTTACTACCAATCACTTTTTCATTACTTCTCCAAAAGTGCTTTTTTTTAAGCAGAAGCAGTTGCAAACACTCCCTTAGTGGAGTGGCCGTAATAGGAACACTAATTCAATTACTTCTATTTAAAGTATAAATTAATTATAGATAACTCCTATTGTAGAACTTTTTTAATGTTTTACTCCCATTTAGATCAATTCCTTATCATTTTACCTTTTACACTTTGGCGATTCATCCTATTTCTTTTTTAGTTTTTGAGGTTAGATTGGTAAAATAATAATTTTCTCCTCAAATTTCTCTTTCATATATTAAGTTTTTTCCTAAAATATTACTAATAAAAATTTATAGACAAAAGCATGACTATAAATTATTACATGTAATTTGATGGTCTTTACGATATAACATTTGAAGACAATTATAGTCTCTAAAGTCAATACAAGTAATTTGATGGTCTTTACATATAAGTTACTACAAGTAATTTGATGGTCTTTAAGATATAACATTTGAAGACAATTATAGCCTATAAAGTTAATAGAATTATATTTTGGTCCACTAATTTTGTTTTGGTTATACTATACCCAGTAGTTTTGAAATTATTTTTTACATGATCACAAGGAAGTAATACTCGTATTACTTTATTTACATTTACCAATTTACCATTCACTCACAACATTACCCTCTTTAATGATCGTACCACACTTATTGTTTCAATGTTAGGGTACGGGACTACTGTATGTTAGACTGAAGATGACAATGATGTGACAAATCATTCAAAGATATATTGAGATCATGTTTGTGTATCTAATACTTCCCCGTTCTCATTTAGTTGTAACGGTCAACATTTCACATTTGTCAACACACATCTTTGATTGTAATTATATTTTAATTTCTATTAGTATAAAAAATTTAAAAATTAGATTTTGAAAATCTGTAATGAGATGAATTGAACAATATTTAAAAAAAAATCTCATAAAATAATAGTGTAAAATGTAGTCAAAGTAGAACATGTGAATAGTATAAAATTCAACATGTTGCGATAAAAAGGAGGATAGTACGTTACAAGTAATAATTTTAGCAAAGTAATAATTTTTGCGATAATTGAGCATTGTTTTGGATACAACGAGTGAGATGATTTTATTGATTGAGGTGTTACATATAGTAGCACCTAAAGACTTATTGATTCTAATGTTGCTTAATATAGAAATTGATTCAAATTGAAGTTATTTACATGAAGTTTAAATTGTCATCTATAATAACTTTAGTCAATTCAGTTAAAAATGTAATTTCAATTTTACTTATTTTAATTATCATACTCCCTCCGTCCCGAAAAAGTTTGTCAAATTTCTTTTTTTTTTGGATGTCCCAAAAAGATTTGTCATTTCCATTTAAAGTAAGGAATATGTGGCTAAAATTAATTCTCTCTCCTCTGCACAAATTTCAACCATACATTTTTTATTTTATTAATTCACGTGAAAGTCAACTTTGACAAACCTTTTCGGGACGAAGGGAGTATTATCTAGCGAGTGAAATTAAAGATTATGCTGGGGGAGAAAAATGATTCTGCTTCTCTATATATTGGGGGGATTACTGATAAAGCCGGAGAAACATATAGAGGGTGTTTGAAACTGATTCTGTTTCTACTTTTTTATTAAGCAAAAGTAGAATCAGTTTTCAGAAGCTGGTCTCCCCCAACTTCTAATTTTTTTTATTCTAGGAGTAAATTAGAACGTTAGAATCACTTCTCCATTTTCACCCAACTTCTACTTTTACACTATGAAAGAAAAGAAACAATTTTAAGAATTAGATCCATACCCCCATTGTCTTCAAATAGGCCCTCTATAGATTTAGTCTCCAAATAGTCCCTCTATAGATTTGTACACAACGTTTGAATGTTATCTTAGCCTACTTTTTTTTTTTTGATCATGTTATCTTAGCCTACTGATAAATGTTAATTAGACGACTTCAAAAAAGAGTGGTGAAAAGAGGCCCCCGCCGACACACACGCACGGAAAAGTACTCCATAACATATTTCTTTCTTTTCTTTTCTTTGTCCATATAGGGGCTGTGCTGATTGCTGATCGATATCCCCACCCAATTTAGAAATTCCTGAAAAGATTGGTGTCCACAGTGCTTTCTCTTTTCAGTCCCCACCCACCTCATCATCAATTCTGCAACAATCCAAAACCTCCATCAACGACTTACTATAATTACTCCATCTGATTCCCATGTTCAAGCTCCCAAAATTAGCATAGATCTAAGGCCTGGTACAAAACCCACCATTAATTATTATTGTTAGCTGCTCCACATATATTATATTTATAGATAAAAGAAAGGAAAAAAAGAGAAAAGAAAAACTATTCTATATTCCTTGGACTTGAAGACATACTGCTTAACAAGAAAGCAGTTGTTGATAAAAGTATAAAGAAAGTAAGAAATGTTTGAAGATTCCCAAAGGCCAAAGTCCAAGCGGTTCTGGTTCTGCTGCTAGCTAGCTGGTTGTTGAAATATTCAATTTCCCCTGAATTTCCGGAAGCCAAACAAGGGTTATTCATCAATTCATGGACTCCTCCCCAAACACAGGGTTCTTTGGTGGCAATAATCATAATAACAGTGAGCAGAGAAGTTCTGGGTTGCTCAGGTTTGGCTCTGCCCCAAGCTCTTTTCTTGACAGTTTCGCAAATCCAGAAACTGCTTCTGCTGCTTTTGCTCATTCTTCAAGGTTCATTGATGGGGTTTCTGCTTTTCCACCTCCTATCCCAAGGCAAAGCTCAGCTGCCCTATTGGGCTCATCAAATCTCACCAGACAGAACAGTTCCCCTCCTGGCTTGTTCTCAAATCTCAATCCTCTAAATGGTAGGTACTATCTTCAAACATCATTCAGAGTATTTATTGCATGTTTTTGTGCTTTTCCTTTTATGGAAATGTTTACAGTACGATTCTAGTAAGAGTGGTTGCTCTGATTATCAGATTTGGAAATGTATATCTGCTACTGTACGTTCTAATAAAGTAGGGTGGATATCTCGAGGTGGGCAAAGCTTTATTGTTCACAACTTTCAATGTATTTTAATGAATTTTTGTGTACGCTGTTTGTTTTTCAAACTTAGATCTTGAAAGTTGAAACTAATCCAGTGCACGAATTCTTAATTCTCTATTAAGGTAGCAATTTACTTTTCATTTGAAACAAAACCTAGATGTGTGCTTTATAAATTATATTTATACGCCGATATGTCTTGATCAGACCAGATACTCACTCGTATTCATTCTTGTTTTCTCATTTGACTTTATGTTCAAGTTGAGTAATATTTCCTATCTGGGAAATTAAAGCATGAAAACGGAGGATTAGTTTGGAGATCAGCCAATAAATGCCGTTTTTTGATTAATTCTGTGTACTATTACAAGGACAAAAAAGACATAAGGTGATAGAACTGAGAGTATCAGATGTATATCCTTTTTTGTTTAGTTGATATGGTTGTAGTTTCTCAATGTGGTATCACTTACTATTAATGGTATTGCATTTCATCCACAAATATAATCAAATACTCTTTTCGTTTACTTTTACTCGTTCAAGTAGGTGTCTTAGAGAGAAAATGTATGGAACATGTTAATGTGTTCACTACGAAGTACGTTGATGTGAATATGTGATGAATGACCTTTTTTTAAAAATTTATAGACGAATAAATAGTGACCATTCATCACGTCAACATGTTCACTATATTATCTCCGTAGTGAGCACGTTGGCATGCTCAAAATATTTTCCCCATCTTGTAGAAGTTAAGAGTAAAATTGCATCAGTCATGGATAGGGTAGAAAAATTGTATGAATTATAAGAGTACAAACAAATACGGAGTATGTAAAAACATAAAAGAAATAATACAAGGATATTTATATCATTGATAGGGTGAGAGTTCCAAAAAATACACGTGGAGCAAATAATAACGAAAAATACTATAGGTACCCCCGTTTTGGGGTGTCCAGATGTACCCCTCTACTCGTTGGTTCACAAAAGGCAAGTCATTAAAGTGGAACAATTGATTTAATGATTGGGCTTTTGTGAACCACACAAAAGGTGAGGTACAAATGAGGTACACCAAGCATAGCTCAATAATAACACAAGTGCATCTTTTGGAGTGAAATAATGGTTGGAAAAAGTACATAAATATGACATCTATACTTCCAAAAGACAAAAATGTGACTAATTTTTATCTTGTCCAAAAGTATGATTAAATTTTAAATATTAATTTTTCCTCCCTTTAACCTCTCACCGCCGGCCCCCAACGGACCACAACCAAATCGTATTGTATTTTGTTCTGAAAAAATTGAAGTTTTTTCCAACGATCACAATGACATGTTTGGCTCTGGCACTAACACTAGTTGCTTCATCAATGAGGCCGCGCCGGTGGTGGTTGCAGTGACATCGCTGGTAGTCCGATAGAGACAAAATAAACTCAGAGTGATATAATAATGATATGCATAGTTTTCCAATTTTATTAATGTGTAAATCACTTTGTTATCCATATCCATATATGTAGTTCTAAGGAATCTAGAATCTTGGAGCATTTGAATAAAATATTTCCTCTATTTTACTCTAAAAAGAATCATCTATTTTGATTTATTTGCAATCGTGTGACTTTTATATTTTTGATGCACAATATTGATCATTAGTCGATTTCAATAGCTATTGGTAAAAGATATAAAGAAAAATCCTCTTTTATATATTTACATTTAGAGATATTTGATAGTACTTCTAATTAGGGGCTACTCATTTGTTATATTAATTTTTTAATTCTTACAAAACTTGGAATGTGTATAACGAGTTCGGATAAAAAAAAAATGTCTTGACGTTTAAAACAAGAATTAATCTTAGCCGTCCAAAGAGCCTATCTGACGCCCCTACTCCTTTTATATTTGAACCCTCCCCTGTGTATAACATATATCCAAAACTCATACTTTAGTTATTGAGAGCGTTTTGATTTACTGTCATAATTTAATTGATAAAGATTACACATATTGAGTTTTTGAATTACGCCCAAGATGAGCAAATTATAGATCCGCCCCTGTTTTTAATAATAATGTTTTTGATTATATAGACAAAAACATAGTTAAAATAGAACATTGAATAGTAAAAGGTAAAATAGTTGCAATAAATATAGAAAAGGAGATGGTATTATGATGCTTATATTATTGCTATTTATATCACTATTGTTCTGGTTTTATGTGAATGTTCACCGTTAAGTTACTGTTTAACTTACAATAATGGACGAAAGATCATCCAAGGTAATGAAAAATATTCTAGGATTGAGATTTGAGAAGAGAAGCAGGTGACCTTGTTGAGGAATTGTGTTTTTCCCATCTTCTTTAATTTTTCATGTCTGTTGGGTTGATTTTTTGAGAAGGAAAGTGGAATTACTTCCGCTTTTGGTCTACGAGTTTTATGTCAATTCCACATTTAATCTATGTTTTTCACTTTATCTACTTTTGGTGTTTGACTAATGTTTCTTGATTATTTGTCCTCTTTCCATCCCATATTTCGATGTCTCTCCTGCGATTTTGACCACCAGAATTATCGACGGAAGGACCACATATGCACGAAAAACAATAGTCAAATACCAAAAGTTGTCAAAGATGTGAACTAATTGTGAATATCTTTATTTTATGCTCATTATTGTGTTAAGAAGATAACAACATTTGAAGTCATACAAAGAATATGTATGATGGCAACGAAATGAACTTCAGGCCAACTTCGGGGTTTAAGATATCATCACAATTTGCAGGTTATTCAGCAACAAGAGGAGGAGATGGTGTTGGTGGGTACAGAATGGCTAATGGAGAGATGAATATGAAGAGTCCATTGAGTTACTCATCGAGTGCACATTCTTCATTGGGGATGTTGCCTCAAATCACAGAGGCTGAGAATGAGAGCACTATGGGGTCTTGTTTGGATGAGGAGGAAAGAGCTGCATCAGGAAATGGAATCTCTAGTTATGGCTCGGGACTACAATTTGCATCTTGGAGTGGTTCTCCAAACATTGCAGACAGCCTTAAAATGGAGCTGGACGATGACAGCCTCAACCTTTTTGCTGCAGCTAACACTCAAGTAAATAAGCCAACATTGTTTTTTCCTTCCGAGAGTTTCATATATTGGTTAAATTCGAACGAAAGTTTTGTTTGTGCACCTTTTGGTGTACACTCTTTGTATGCCCCTATTTTTGTCTGTGTACATAGACAGTTCATCTTAAAAAAAGCAAATCCTTTGTGCATACAAACAAAAATAGGGGTGTACAAAAGGTGTACACCAAGCACGGCTCAAATTCGAAAATGTGAGTTTCTCAGCAAGTATTTGGACAACTCTCAACCTTTTGATTGCTCTTTTAAAGAGTTGAGTCATGTTCAACACTTGTGTTTTAAAATGGTATGATTAGAGGGGACCGGTTCCAAGGATAATCAGGATCGGAATTTCCTGGTACGGTTCTGATTCAAAACCAGTTCTGTTCTGGTTCTTTAGCCTATAAAATAAAATCTGGCCCAAACCCATTTTGAAAGAACCAGGAAGCGTACTCGAGTTGGACCAGAATTGAAAGACAGGCCAATGCTCCAGTGTTTTACATGGATAATTCCGGTCTGAGTAGTTCTGGAATGGGAACCAGACCCACCCCTAGGTATAAAAGCTAACTACCATATTGGCATGGCTACGCCTGTGAAAATTATATAGGTCACCTAAGTGCACAGCAGTGAAAGCGTGTCCATGAGTCCATCTATGGAAAAAGATAGTGAAAGTTATTCTATAATTGCCCTAAATTGAGTAAATAATGAGGAAAGAATTGACTCCAAAATAAACGAAAGGCAATGTCAACATCTTGAGATCACTTTTGACGTATATTAACGTTTATATTATTCGGGTTGTCGGAATTTTTCTGAAGCATACAATTGGAACTGATGTTAATAAGCACAGGTTGGAGGTATAGGGGGACAAAGGCAAAATATGTCGCGCCAATTGAGTTTACCAAAGACATCAGGTGAAGTTGCTGCTTTGGAGAAGAAATTGTCCCAATTTCCAGACAGCGTTCCTTGGAACATCCGTGCCAAACGTGGTTGTGCTACTCATCCAAGAAGCATTGCAGAGAGGGTATGTAGGACTGACTACATTTATATGCATATGATCGATATGAGATGCTCCAACACACTAATAATAGCACAACTAGAATTGATTTTCTTTTATAATGAATGTGACTTTAGTTATCGAAACATTTGCTTAATATGGTGTGTGTTTCAGGTGAGAAGAACCCGTATTAGTGAAAGAATGAGAAAACTACAAGAGCTTGTCCCTAACATGGACAAGGTTAGTCTCTTCTTCATTTTATTATGATGCGTTACGTTTAAATATTACTGTTGGGTGAAAAAACCATTGCCTTTTTTCGCGTTTATAAAATTGCGAACCAACATATGAGACACAGTCCATTAGATTGATCTTATAGATTTAAAGTTAAGAAGAGATAAGGACCCCCATTATGAGAGGAGCCATACTACAGAAATCTGGAGACATAAATATGGTAAAAGCTGATAAATTGAGTCATGAGAGTTGGCTCAAAACTCACTAGAAGATTAAATTCATTTTCTTAGCTAGTTCAACAAAAGATCTTAATAACTCGCCATTTTCTCTTTACTTATCAATGTATGAATTTAACCGTCCCCGGCCCTCAAATGGACTGGCTGGTTGTTCACTTGTTCGAGGTGAACTCTAAGAGTAACAACATCAAATGAAATATAAGCATAAGGTTACTAGTGGAAAACCAAACGTTGGAAGTGTCACATATTATTAAATTTTGTTAAATAAACATCAGATGTTGGAAGTCATATACTCATAATATTTTTTAATTCTAAAATGGAATTAAAATTTTGATAAAATGAACCTGTTCGTTGGGATTTTTTTGAACTAATTTATAGTTGAGATTATTTAAATCTGTTTGGTATTAGTTGGAACAATTATCTTCAACTTTAAGGTGCCACATTATAACAGAACATGCTTTTCTATTTAATTTTTGTCTTTGAGTGAAAAAGATAACTATCTGTTGATTCTTTATGCAGCAAACCAACACGGCGGATATGTTAGATTTTGCTGTTGAGTACATTAAAGATCTTCAAAGACAGTACACGGTACTTATGTTGTAATTAACTTTTTCTGATTACTAATATTATTCATCAATACCGGGCCTGGGGTTCGTAACACGTTTATCTGGTTTGATTTTCAGACGCTGACAGGCTATCAAGAAAATTGCAAATGCTCATCAGCTTCGGATAAAAGAGTCTAACTTTATTGCTGTAAAAAGCAGAGAGGGCTGTCCCCAAGACTTCGGCTACAACATGGGAAGGGGAAGGAAATATACAAGAGTTGAAGCATATGTTTTGTTATATTGTTTTTAATCTCTTCTTTTCTTGTCTTTTTGAGAATTAGCGAAGCGCGTTGAAGGGACAGTAATTAGCTATACCTATAGTATGATTATATGTTACGAATTAAACTAACAATGTTAAGGACAGATTTAATAGGACAGAATCATAGATTAAGTAGCTAAGCATAGGGGCTATGTATGTATGTATTGCTTCAGTTGTCTTCCTTTATTTTATAGGTCAATAAAGCTTCTATGGGTCCTTTGCGGTCCTTTTTTTGGGTTATCACTAAATTTTAAACCCCACGTTTTGCATTTCCTGAAATGGTTCGTACATGTTTAAAATATGGTTTGTCTTATATACTTACTCAGTAATTTAGTTTTTTTCATTAATAATACTCCGTATATGTTCTAGTAATATAGAGAGGGAAAAATTGATAGTAATAATCCCAACTATTGGCGGTCCGCCTATAATAATCCCAACTATCGATTATTTCAGAATAATCCCAACTTTAGGGACCTTCCGCCAATAATGGTCCCTATAAATAAATTGTTGTAGTTTTTAAAGTGGATGAGAAGAGATATAACTAGTAATCCCTATAAATAATTCCAACTTTTAATTTTTACGTTTAATTTCTATTTAAAATTCACTTTTTATACAAGGTAATATTTGGTCATGGACCATTATTGGCGGACAGTCCATATAGTTGGGATTATACAAAAATAATCAATAGTTGGGATTATTATCGGCGGACCGGCAATAGTTGGGATTATTATTTTCAATTTTTCCTAGAGAGTATTATTTATTGCTATTTGTATTCCTGTTTCACCATATCAAAAAGCACGGAATAACTAGTTTGTTAAATCTTCTTCCTTCTGCACATCAAAGCCTTCAGTTTACTCTCATAGGCAAAACTCTTATTCCTCAATGTACATCATCAAAATGAATCACACCCCCATGTGTTATAATCATTTATGCACAGAACCCATTGTGTGAATTAATTTAACAATTTTAAAATCACTTCATTCATAATATTATAATTGAATATGCAATTAAATTTGTCAAAATCTTTGAATTATACAAAAGTGCTAATCATTTTTCTTTTATTTGACAACTAAATTTGTTCATTGAAGAGATTTTGCCCATGATTAATAATAACACATGAGAGTTTGATGCACTTTGTATATCATAAGGGGTTGATGCATCGCAGTTCTATATCATAACGGGGTTTGATGGATTAAACTCACTATTAATGATATATATTTCGTATAAAGTAATAAAGTTGTAATGTTTTTTTGTTCAAATATTAGTTCCCGATGTGGGATCAATTTATTTATTTTTATCTTTATCTTTATATATTATATAAAGTAGAAAAGTATTAACAGTTTTTTTCTTCCAAATGTTTGGAACAATAAAACTAACGTTTAAATATGTTTTAGTCCCGGCCCTATCAATATAATACATTTTATTTTTTGTCCTTGGAATTTTCGTTTTGTTATTTCATCTCTTAATTTATGTTAGCTTTTTAGTCCATCATTGATCATAATAACTTCGACTTACAGGTTTCCTCTACTTTTTTATCATGTTATTCAACAAACTTTTAGAGGAATAACAACAACAACAATAATAAAAATGTAATTATTATTATAATTATAATAATAACTATCATTATTATAAATTCCTATTGAATGCAAGAAAAAAGGTCCAATATCTGTTCCAAATTATTATTTTATTAATATATATTTATTCCAAATTATTGTGAGCCTAACATACGTAGGGATTACAACGTGCCTTTTACTCTTCCATCAATTTCTTGCATCCTTTTATGTTGAAGATTTATCTCACCAAAAAAAAAGGTTAATTTGTGCCGCACTGATCGTTGGTCCTCTCTAAATTCTCTCCATCTCGTTCCTCAAACCTTCCTCCTCGACCAAAAGAGCAAAATCAAACAATGCCCAAATGCTCCTGCTCTCCTTCTTCACAAACCCCTGCTCCAAATCTATCCTGAAAATCATTTGAATTGATTCCTTCTATTAGTTTCCCGGGAAATCAAGATTTGGGTCATTTCCCATTGTCACCGATCTTGGATTCCCATTTTTGTGTTTTTCCTCAATCTTATGTTGAAATCCAAATGTTGGAAAGGTGTGGGTTGAGGGAAAAGATTTAAATTTTAATCGTGGATCTTGGGGATAATGACGAATTTATATGGGGAGTTTAATCAAAAGATAGATTATGTGTTCAAGGTTGTGTTAATTGGGGATTCTGCGGTGGGGAAATCTCAGCTGCTGGCTAGGTTTGCCAGAAATGAGTTCAGTTTGGATTCTAAAGCTACAATTGGTGTTGAATTTCAAACCAAAACTCTCATTATTGATCAAAAGACAGTTAAGGCTCAGATTTGGGATACTGCTGGCCAGGAAAGGTGCCTCCTTTACTATATCTCTTCTTTTTTATTTTCAACTTCACATATTTTTATGTTTTGCTTCATTTTGACAAAAGCTATATGAACATGAATATGACCCTTACCTCAATGGGCATTTTGTGCCTTCAGTAGATTTTAGAAGAGGCCCTCACATTCATGAAGCAATATCATCATTTTACATGTACACTACTCGATATTTATTTTTGTTATCTATATATAAATATTAGATTATGTTTGGCTGATTGGCTCCACAGAATAGTTTCAGCATGCTGCATCATATTTTTAAAAAATAAAACAAGTAAAACTGGCGATGATTTTTGTGACTCGATTTGCTCAAAAAGACAATACTCCGTATTAGTTTTTTTTGTTGCACATATAGTATTTTTTAAGTAAATACATTTTTAAATATAATACAGAACTCAAGAGTAAATCAATTCAGTCATTTCAATCATAAACTTCTGAAAATTCAATGAATTCATAAAATCTCAATCAATTTTAATGTTACTAAGCGAGTTTTTAAATTTATTGTAGCGCTTCTATTCCCATTATCACCCGTCAACATTGTACAATACTCCAGTGTACCTGTTTTTTTGTTAAGACGGGGTACTCGAAAATCCATCACACGCAATTATTATCTACCAAAGTTAGGTACTAGACAAAAAATGCATGCATATGTGCGCACGCATAGCAATGTTTGTGGGTGCATAAACCAATGTATTTGTAAAGAATTTACAAATTTCAAAATAGATTTTCTTTACAGATGTGATTTGTCTTTCGCCTAACTTGACTAATGAATATTTGTGACTGGTTTGGTCTAGTGGATATAAATTGCGTACATCAAAACGTGTACGCTTATCACGTTTTCATCACCCATAACAATTCTTCAAGCGCTAATATTTTGATTTTATACAAACTCTTAAATAGGTCTTTTGTGTTTGTCAGGTACAGAGCAGTAACAAGTGCATACTACAGAGGAGCAGTGGGTGCAATGCTTGTATATGACATGACAAAGCGGCAATCGTTTGACCACATGGCTAGGTGGTTAGAGGAGCTTAGGGGGCATGCAGACAAGAATATAGTGATAATGCTGATAGGGAATAAGTGTGATCTGGGTAGCCTTCGGGCAGTACCGGTTGAGGATGCTCAAGAATTCGCTGAAAGAGAGAATCTATTTTTCATGGAAACATCTGCTTTAGAAGCTACTAATGTGGAGACTGCGTTTATGAACATTCTCACCGAGATTTATAGGATCATAAGTAAGAAAACGTTAAGTGCAGATGGCTTGGATTATAGCAGACAAGGGACAATGAAGGGTACTAGGATTATTGTTACTGATCAAGACTCCAATTCTGTTGCAAGAACGGGTGGTAGTGGTTGTTGCGGTGGTTGATCACTACCCTTAACCTATAATACTGTATTCTTCATTTGCATCATAGGAAATTAATGTTGTCAATCTTATGGTTAGTAAACAGAACATGATTTTGTAAAAGGATAAAAAAAGAGAATGGTGTCAATTAATTTATTCTGGACTCTAAGCTAAGCTAGTTGTGTATATCATTGTTATAACTTGCGATTCTTGTATAATATTTGTGTATATTCAAATTACCTAATTTAATACTATTCCATTAATGTTCACCAAAATCAATGTTTGGCATGTATGTTTACATGTAATGTGACTTCTTATTGATTGACATGATTATCTCCGGTGTGGTTAGAATTCGGGAATTTCGAAAGGTTGGGTTTGTTTATGGCAGACCAAACACTATAAATTAGTTGATAGAGCGACGAAATCCGCATACATATTTTAGGAAAAGTACGGAAAACGTATCTCTAGTTGGGTGGGGTTTTAGCTAGGCGTCTGTGTTTCATTATTTAATAAAGTAGTCCTCGTGTTTTGATTCCGGCGCCTAACGCCATTAGTAATTGACGGAAAAGGCGACAAACAGTAACTCCGATTTCAAAAATACCCGGAAAATCAAAAGAAAAATGTTGGGAAGTTTGCAGACGACCTCTGAACCATCCTCTTTTTTGGGTTTTTATGACACTTAGTGCCATTTTTATGACACTAATTCCCCTTGGACGACAAATACTAATAATGTCATGTTTTTTTTTTCCATAAAAAGTGTTATTTCCGAACATAGTGCCATTAGTATGACACTAACCCCAAAATGAAGGCAATTTTTTCTCCTGCAAATACAATATTTACAATATGACACTAAGATTCATATTCTATGTTTTTATACGAATGCCATTAAATATGGCATTCAAATGGTCAGATGAGATTGCAATTTGCAAAGCACCCTTTCTAGATTTGAGATCAGCGGTGGTGGTGTGAGAGGCAAGTGTTGCGCCAGGAGAAGAGGCAGTGGCATGGGATCCGGCGATGACAACGATGATAGATAGAGATGCAGTGTCGATGACTGGCAGCAATAACGGCGAATGGCGGCGAAGACAGCTGACTGGCAGCGAAGACGGCTGACTGGCAGCTGCGGCGCTGTGGAAGGGGGCGACAAGGATGGAGATTGCGGTGACATCGAGTATTGCCGGTCCTGGTTGGCGCCGTTGGTGACTTGTGGTGGTGGTGATTTGAGGGAACATCTCATTGTTTTTCGGAAGGGGCGACAATCATTGTTGTGTACATCTTTTATTTCATTATTTTATTTTAAATTTTTAATAAAAAAAATTAGGTTATTCATTGAAGGTACTTTTGTCAACCCATATTTTTTATTCTTATGGAACAACACCGAACATTGGAGTCCTAGTTTTGTGCTTTTGTTAGGTTTTACTCATTGTTAGAGAATCAGACATTTTTATTTATTTTATTACTATTTTTTATGATTTTAAATCAAACTAAATAACACTCCCTACGCATTTAAAATTTGTTA